GGGGGGGGGAAACATCTCAATGAAGAATCAATCTTGAAAGCAGATGATACAAATTTAAGAAGGGGGCTTTGGTCTAACTCTCTTGCATGTTTAGAAATGATTAGCATAGTTGGCGAGCGACAATGTGTCAGCTTCAGTGAGCTTTAAATGTAACATGTGCGAAAAACAATGTCAATACTATTGAGTCACATTTCTATCCTTCAGCGAGTAGTCGATGAGAGAGCGAAGCCTTAAAACACCTAGCGAGGGCCCAGCTCTGGCCTCACGCCTACATGTCTCTACGCGTGCAAGTCGTCTCCGTAAGGGTGGATGATGGAGGTCCTGTAGGCGTGAGCTTTGTCCGTCTCCAGGGCGGGCAGCTTGGCAGGGGCGACACCGTGTCGGTAGCGGCTCTCCCCGGGCTGGCCGAGTTCCACCTGCAGCACATGAATGGAAAATGGATTTGTCGAGCTCGTCGCGAGAGCGAATGGAGCTGAAGACGGAAACTGCACCCCTCTAGCGGCCCATACCTTCTTCACCTGGTCCTGGTCCTCGTTTGCGGGGATGGCGGGCAGCACCTCGTTCTCGACGTCCTCGGCGGGATCCTCGTCAGCGCTTTCTTCCGCGTCCTCGACGACACTGATGCCGGCATGCACCTGTGATGCCCCCTCGGGGGTCACGTCCTGGGGCTACCATGGAAGAGCATTTGAAATACACAATAAGAATTTCCATAATTTATTGTGCAAGTCTTGTCGAACAGTGGCAAGTCACCCACACCAGACGGCTGATTCGCCCCGCGTCCAAATTCGTAGTTAAGTTACTCTGGAACGATCAAACACCCTACCGAACGGTTTGCCTATTTGCCACCAAACCACGATACGCCACGATGCCTTACGGTCGGAGCGAGTAGTGCTTGCGGTTCAGTCTAGCTACGGGCGTGGCGAATCATACAGCAGGAGGATAACGTTCATGTCCACCACTTTTGGACAAACCTTCAGCTATATTCAGTTTAGCGACGCGCGCGAGAGCCTGGAGTTGGACAAGGGAGCGTGGACCGAGGGGGGGAGGGCTAGAGCACCTGGCTTAACTGAATATAGCTGAAGGTACCCGTGTGGGGATGAGGAGGGGGGGGGGGCGCAGGCGCCCCGTCCACCTTTCCCCTTATTTACCTTGTCTGTTGAAGAACGACCCTGTTCGTCGGATGAGACGGGGAGATCAAAACCGTCGTCGAGATTAAAGCAGCCCTTGCGTACTTTGTGTGAATCGTCTTCGTCGATCACACCAGCTGAAGACTTTGAGAACAGCGCCACCAGCACGAGGGCTGCGGTGATGAGACTCAGCGTCACCTGCGCAACAGAAGGGTAGCTGACGTTACACATCAAGTGTTCAGTTGAACAGTTAACAGAATGTTAATAACACGGTAGTTGTGGACGTTGCACATGCATTTTTAGTTATAACGACTAAAGCCACTGTCAAACTGCACTTGATCACCCTGGTTCAACTACTGTAAACCCCTTTAGAGTGAAAAGGATTCTCCCTCGCCGAATCATAGCCAGAATTTCAAATATCGCTGTATTTAAATGGTATGCTCCGCTTGTTCATGACAATTTCAAATTTCGTTGCACATCTCCCGATTAAACGAGGGAGACGTAGGACACGAAATTAATTTTGTGCTAAGGAATAAACTCGTCCTTAAACTTGAAGTATCGCCCTTCATGGTGGGATCATCCACAAAGTGCGTCCGCCATTTGCCGTTCCGAAACTGACGAGTTCTGTCAATGCTAGGTCTCATAGCGCCTAGATGGTAGGCAACATCCTGCCTGCCATGCATGCATGTGCTGCGGCGTGGCCTACCCTGAGTCTCGCAGGCGCTGAACCGATGAGCTCTCGGAGAGTTGCCGAATGAATCTGAGAAATACGGACGTACTTTCTAGACGATTCCACACTGGTAAAACAAGTGTTTAATGTTCCACTCCAATTGATGTTGAAGTTCAAGTTAGATTGGGGACCGGCTTCAAGCGCCAGCGCGTCACTCTGATATTGCAGCCAATGCCCAGGGGTTTTACAAGGGGTTGTTCGCGGTTTCGCGCGGTTTCCCGCGAGTCCGCAGGGGCAATCGGCAATCCGCGAGTCCGCGGGGGTAGCTCGCGGGTCCACAGGGTGACTCGCGGGCCGCGATGAGGTACCCCTGTGGACCCGCGAGTTGCGAGTTACCCCCGGGGACCCGCGAGTTACCCCTGCGGACTCGCGGGAACCCGCGCGAAGCGCACATCCCCTTCGTACGCCCCTGGGCGTTGGCTGCAGCAACAGTGGTGGAGCGATGCGTTGGCGCTTGGAGCCGGTCCCCTGCGCCTGGTGGGTATGCAGTCCCGGATGGAGCCGTGCGGGCGGGCTGCATAGTACAAAAGTGCGCGGCGTGAATCAGCCACCTCGTATATACAAAAGCAAGGATCGGCCATACTTAGATTAACGGCAGCGAGCTACTCCTTATCCTCCCCAACACAAAGTGGATGTGGGACTGGTAAAGACCAAGTAGAAAGTAAACCATTCTCGCTCCCCCGACTGATTCGTGATACTGATCGTGAGTGTCGTCAGTCGGGCTGGACTCCTTACCCTGATGTCGCGTAGTTCGCGATTCGATGCCCCAATTCAAATGTTTTAATGATTGCTCGTATCCTTCGGGAAGGACCCCACTGTAAATTGTTTGGCGTCTTTAGACGCCAAGATTTGGCGTTCAAAGACACCAAACTTTGACGTCTAAAGACGCATATTTTTGGCACTCAAAGGCGCCAAAATTTGTCGTTCTCTCTCAGTGAGCACCAAATTTTGGCGTCAAAAGGCGCGAATCAGTTTTCAGTGGCGTACCCGTGACAATGACGTAGGAAACGTGCGTCTTTTGAGAAATGACAAGAAAGTCAGAGTCAGGGGGCTACAGGAGTTCGTTTTGATAGCAGTACGATACAGTAATTCAAAGGCCGTGACCGTATCAGACTTGGACATTGCATATTATTATTCGGTTGGAGTAAGACGAGCGGCTGCTGTGTGTTATCACGGCTGGTCAGCGACGAGTCAGCGACCACCGTCATGATCGGCTTGCTATACGGCTGATAAGGGGTCATAATGGTGTTCGCCAAGGAGTCGAAACTAACGGCCAACAAGGCGTCGCGACGCTCTCATGCCCGGGAGCGAGGGTCACGCCGGGGACGTCAGCGACGGCACCAGCGCGCAATGCTCGTTTGAGACTCGGCCGGCGCACCATCGCCAACCACCAACATACCGCCCCGTCAGAGGAATCATAATTACTCTACCATCTCTTTCCTTCTGTCTCTCTCTCTCTCCGGCGCTCCGTTGGCAAAAGATTCTCGCGAAACAGACGCAAACAATTGAAGAGCGAGACGAGCAGACCGTCTTGCGCTGTCGGGACGAGACAAGACGGGGGCCGCGTGCAAGAAGAAAAGGGGGGGGGGGGCACGATCAAAATAAACGATCTTAGAAGGAAGTCAGGGCAGTTTCTCGGAAATGCGTGGCTGCTGCTGCTGCGCCGCTGTGCCACCGCCGCCACCCGTTTTTTCCTGCGCTTTTAACAAGCCGGGTCGGTTGGGAACTGAGGAGCACGCGAGGGCCCGGCAGCGGTACGGCTCATGAAGGTTCTGACCGGTGACGGCCGCTACCAGCCGCTACCAGCCGCTACCAGCCGCTACCAGCCGCTACCAGCCGCTACCAGCCGCGACAGGCCGCTACGAGCTACAACCGGCCGCTACCGGCCGCTACCACACTGAAAACTGCGTAATGACGCTTGTCGATAATGATGACGCTCAGTTTTTCTGGAATATTTTCTAAGGGAGCTCTCAAATTGAATTTTCGAAAGTACCATCGAATTCCTTGGAGCACTCCCGATCAAACGAGGTCACATGTGAAACATGCGTCATTACGCAGTTTTCAGTGCAGCATGCCCGCCAGCCGCGGCCCGCGCCGGGTGGACGGCGGTGTGTGACAACCGGGGCTGAGAAACTGCACAAAGAGGACCATGTGTAGCCGTTGTGAAGTACTAGTTTGTCAATACAAACAAATGCGACAGGTTTTTCTATTTCACAAAAAGAAGGAAGTTTACAATTACAAACGGGTGACAGGAAATCCGGTGTGAGAAATCTCACAATGGTTATGACAAAATTTTCCTCGATGATGTGTTGTAAATTTACAATTTAAAATTTCAAAATTACAAGTGCTGCATGAGGGGGCATGATGTGTGTACACATGATTCTTGAAACACTTGATTCCCAGTGTTTCCCGTCTGCTTCTTGCAAAAGCTGGCAAGAGTGGGCGGACAAGGGTGTACAAGAGTAGGAAATTTTAGCCCACTCTTTACTGTTGGAAGCATACGTTGAATTTCACCGTAAGCTACAGTGAACCCCACAGCATTGTTGCTTATTACGGTCAATAATTTTCACCCTGCACCATGATTCACCGTAGCTTACAGTTACATTCACCGTAGCTTACGGTGAAAATTGACCGTAGGCCGTAGGCTACCGTGCAGCAGGGTTACTGTACTACAGTGACTGTAGCTTACGGTGAAATTCACCGTAAGCATTTAAAAGTGTTGTTAAAAGGACTGTAATACTCTTGCATTTTGTGCAGTTTCGAATCTCATCCCTCCTCGAAGGAAAGGCATGTGAAGCACTACTTGCTTTGCGAGTGAACTTCCCTAATGGTGCGTGCCGAGGTGCGTGCTGTATACTCACTTGTGCCATGGTGAACTGATCCTAATACTGGAAGTTGAGTGAACAGGACTGCAAGAAGTTCTTGGCGACAAGCAAGGGGGTGGGGAAGAGAATTTCGGTGAGTCAGAGAATCGCGAATCGGAGCGTACCAGACTGACAACTGCGGGCTAGATCATTCACACAGGCACTGTTTATGTAGACTTGCGCCCGGCCTCGTCCCCTCCCTGCGCAGGGGCCCGCGGGGCCCGCGACCGCCCGCCCAGTGCGAGGGAGACAGTACAGTAGCAGGTCGGGCGGTGCAACACAGCGGCGCGGAGAGGAAACAGCACTGGCCAGTACGTACTGGCCTCTGCCTGGACATCAACTGGGTCCACACAGACGATGGAACCAGTTCGCTTCATACTTGTTATACTCCTCACTGTAAAAAGCTTACGAACTAAATATACTTTGCAACGTTACGAACAATTTTCGTTCTTTGTATTGCAAACAAATTGTTCGTATTGCAAAGCGATTGTTTGTAAGGCTAGACGGGTCTTACGAACAATCAGTTTGCATTACGAACTATTTGTTCGTAAGCTTACGAACAATTTATTCGTAATACAACGCTTCAAAATCCTTCGTAAGCTACGAACGTTTTGGTTTGCATTACGAACCTATAGTTCGTAAGCAATTTACAGTGCTATATCTGACGGATGAATTATGCAACTTTTTTTTTGTTTCAGTGCAGGGACGCCATCCCCTGTATTTGTATTTCACTATTTGTAAAATGTATCGAACAAACTGCAAACATTATCGCACCCTCGTGTTTTCGTGTCGGGGGTACGGCGGAAAGCTCAAGCGGAAAACTGAAACAGCAAAGTCCGTCGTGCATTCGAGTCTTTGCGTATTCCGATAAAGCGCGAATGTTATCATTTTTGCCTCTTTCAGCCCCCTCTTTTCATTTCTCTCTGCAGTAAGGCTGTGTTAATACACATGGTGCGGACGGGTTTGCCTATCGTTTCTAGTCGTTGGGTCTCAAGCTGTTAGGCAACCCGTCCGCACGTCTTGCATGCGGGCTGGTATGCGCGTCAGCTCGGACGGGTCAGCGACCATCGTGGACTGTCAGGTCAGGCTTCTTTATCTGTAGATGCGCTAAGAATAGAGGTGCCAATAATTTAATATATCACTGTAAAAAAAGTAGGTAGGTTTACAGGAAAATTTTCCTTGACGCAAGTTGTAAAAATTACAATTTGAAATCGTAAAAATCCGTGCAGTATGTATCGACTTCAAATCCATTGGCGAGTAAAAAATGTGATGTCGTAAATTTACAACTTAAATTAGTATTCGAGTTTACATTTTTTTTGTAAATTTACGACGACGATATTTTTCACAGTGATCCAAGGTTTTAGCAACAATAAGAAGTGTGCATGCGAGGCGAGGCATACAGAGAGGCGTTTTAATTTAATTCTGGTAAAGAGAAGAGATACATATGGTTCAATTTTGAATAGCAGAACTGAAACTGTTCGGTAAATATTATTGTATTTGCCATTTGCCCTTGGACGGTAACGGCGCACTGCCGCCAAAATTCGAAGAAAAGCAGTGATCATGATCATA